ATTTTATATAAATTTTTTTAATTATTATTAATATAAATTATTAAATTTTTATTTAAAATATTAAATTAAATCTATTGAAAACAAATAAAATGAGTAATAAATACAAGAGGGAGTATGTGGGGAATTCAAATGTGATTTGGCTTTTGGAAATTGAGTTGTCTATTTCTAAATTATTATTTTTAAAAATTTTGAAAAAGGGCATTCAAAAACTGTCATTGGTTCGACCGCAGATTTATGTATTTAAATACAGACTATGTCTTCCCCTTTATCACATTTTAGTCTATTATTTGTTACTTTAGTTAATTAAATAAATTAAGAAAGGACAAAGATGTTTCTGTTCTTGTGTGTCAGCACATGCCGCCAATGATTCAACCTCCCCACATATTTCTTCAATACGTGGCTTTTACCTATGGGATACGTTGCATATTATTATAATTTGAGGATTGATTTCTTTAACAAAATGACATTTCAAAAATGGTGCGCAGTGTGCTTGTTTGGGGGGTGACTTTGACATGATTTACCCAACTTGGATGGTATATATTAACTTTACAATATATATATATATATATATATATTAACAATTAGTTATTATTTGTGTTTTTGTATTTTTTCTTGCAATTAACCATTTTTTTAAAATTCTTATATATATTTTTTATAATTTTATTAATTTTAAATTAATTGACAATAATTAAAATAATATATATTTTTGAGCCTACTCAACGATAACTCAAACTTATATCAATTCATATAAGTCTACAAATTTTCTTTTAATTTACTAATGTGGAATTTTTCACTTCTTACGATATTTAACATGAATCTTATTATGTGAACTAATATTATATGATAATTTAACTTAGAATTGATAGATAATAAATAAAATTTTCATATTTAATAAATACAAGAATATTGGAAAAAAATAATTTTAAATTTGAAATAAAGTTTTAATATTTTCGTAAAATACTTTTTATTCAATAAAAATCTTATTTATCAACCATATACTTCTTTGTGACGACTAAATCAATGGTTAATTTTCAAGTAGTAACATGGAAGAAAAGAAGTTTGTAACATGGAGTTGTAGAGCACAACATGATGATGACGCGTACAATTATTTCCTACATACACATACATTAAATTTAAAAAAAAAAAAAAAACCTATTGTAAAGTCACGGTTGCTTAGCATGACTTTTTCTCAATTCCATAGATGGAGCATGATGATTTCATTCAGTTGGTTTTATGTCAAAATCTTTGGTTATCATCTTTAATGGCTACAATGCCCTTCTTTATAGCCTTGTTCAATTTCAATTTTGCATCCCTAGACTTGGACCAACTTTAAAGTTTTTCACAAGGTAAAGGTAACTCCAAATTGTGTCAAATTCATGGGAACCCCATTTTATATTTTTATGTCTCCACAATTCAACACCAAACATTTGTTTTAATTTGATTTTTCTCTCTCCCATTTTAAGGGTTAGAAAGGATGAATTTTTCTCTCTCCCATTTTAAGGGTTAGAAAGGATGAAAGACTAATAACTTAATTTAAACTCAAATTAAGAGTGCTTTTTATTAAGTTTGATATAAATTTATTATATCATAATTTATAAGGTATGTTTTGTTTGAGGAGTGAGAGTGGAGAGATGAAATTTTTTATCAATTAAATTATTTGTCAATATTATAATTAATTAATTAAAAAATTATATCTCTATTTTTTTTATTTTCTTCAAACTAAATAAGATGTATTTTTATATCAATAACTTAAATAATTTAATAATAATCTCTTTAATTAAAAGTAACAAATTTTGTATTTAAGTTATAGGGAAGGAGTTGATTGTTTCACGTTATAATAGAACCTAAAATAAAAATAAAAATGAATTTTTATTTATTTACCATTATGCTAAGCTTTCATTTGTCATGAATTGTTTTTTTTTTTTTCAAGAGAAACAAACCAAATCTCTATTAATTTGGTGAGTGAAATTAGGTGGTAATTACACTCACAAAATGTTAAGTAATGTTATAATGGAGGGTAGATCTCAACTAAAACACAACAATTAAGAAAAGAAAACTATTAAACAAAAATGGAAAAGTAAATTGAATGTTTGGGTCCCGTTTTTGACAGGCAAACTTAATCAAATCGGACGGTAGAAAAATGGGTTGTGACGACGATCATCACGCCGGACGGTGGCTTTAGGTTTATTCTTTTTAGAAAAGACCACTAAATTTTATTTTATCAACATCATGTCATCCCATACCAAATATACCTGTCCCTCCATATAAAAACCCCTCAAACAAAGTAACAAACTCTCTTTGTTTCTTTCTCCTTCCTTTCTTGCTTACTTTTTTTTTTTTTTACTTTACCAATAACCATAATTAATTTCCCATATTTTTTGTTTTATGGGTTTTGAAAATTTAATCAAATCCAAAAAAAACAGAAAAGTCCAAAGTCAACAAGATATATGCAATAAGGCCAAAAACAGAACAGGATATATGCAATAATATTCCTTCACATCTCATCACTTATTATTTACCATGAAATTAAAAATTATTAATTAGATTTTCAAAAGATTATAAAAGAAATATTTTAAAAATTTGTTGTTTTAATAACATATTATAAAATAAATTAAAATAAATTAAAAACATTCTTATTTTTATTTTTAAAAATATTATAATGAATTTGTTTTGAGATTTTTTCTCATAACTTTTTTAAGTTTCCTGTAGATAAACACTTTTTTTTCTCATTATGTGTACTAATTTTTTTTCCTTGTTTTGTTAATTAATACTAAAAAATATATTAAAAGCAAATTTAAATCTTTCAGTAACACCAAATTAAAGCAAAGGAAGCTGAAATTTTTATCTTTCTTATACAAATACAACTACAAGAGGTCATACAGACACACACTCACCCTTTCTCTTTCTCTCTCCCATTCCACCTTCCTCTTTCCACAGCCATTTATTAGATTCCTCTAGCCTTCCCTTTCCCATTGGATTGTACAGATTCCTAGCTAAATTACCCATCTCAAAATCTTCATTTCTTGTGGATTTTTGCCTATTTTTTGCTTTGATTCTTGCCTTTTGGACTGTACAGACATGGAACTCTTCTGGGTTTTTTCTGGCTTTTGCTTAAATGAGCAAACTTGCTTTCTGGGTTTGTTGCAGAACAGCCTTTGATACCCAGTTGAATATGCCAAACAAGGCTTGAAGAGAACAATCATATTTTAAAGAAATTTTCCTTTTTTCCCCCAGTTTTTGTGAATAAATTTTGTTATTTTTCATTCTCTTCTTTTACCTCCCAAATTTTCTCTCAATTGTTTTTCTTCACTTGGGGTTAAGAGAGAGACATGGGCAAGCAGGGGCCTTGCTATCACTGTGGAGTTACAAGTGAGTTCTTGTTTCTCCATATTGCTTTTTGGATACAAAGAGAAAAAGGATTTGAGTTCTTCAAATTTTTTCTTCTATCCTCTTTTTTCATATGTATATAATTTGGTGTTTTGGTTATGTATGCTCTGATAAATAATTCTGTGGTGGAAAACTGGAAATGAATACGTGTATGCAAAAGGGGAGAGATTAAGTGGGCAAAGATTAAAAATTTAGGGTCTCTGAATGTTCTTTGGATTGTACTGTTTGGGTTTGGATTTAGAAAAACATGTATTCTCTTTCCCTCATTACATATGCTGTTTGGAACTTGAGTTTTTAATTGTTCTTTACATTATTTTGTTCATGACCTCAACCTTCATCTCTTGGGGAGTTGGGTTGGTGTTTTCTTCTTTGACCATTATTCAAAGCTTAACATGCCTCCCCAATGGAAATTGAGGTCAAATTTCGTTGAGTACTGGGCGGCTGCAATCTTGAATACTAGGAAATTGCCGAGTTTACATTCAAATGCTTTTGCTTTCCCAAGTACTAAGTCAAAACAGAGCCCTCTTTAGCAAAATTATTGATTCAAACGAAAAAAAGTCATTGGCAACACAATTGTTTCTGTTCCTTTATGTCTCCCATAGAGAGCTTGAGGGGGCTTCTTTCTCATTCTTTCATTCCCTTGGATAAGTCCTTGTTAAGTTTAATGCCAAAGAAGAACACTCTTACTAGTTTCTAAATAGGCTTTTGGTGCTCTGATGAGTAGTATCACGGTATAGCGATGAGCAGTGTTACTGCATAGTTAGTCCCAGTTCAAATGAAGAGTAATTTGATAAAACTGCTCCCACATGATCAATGTCTTGTGCTTTTAATGTTCTGGATGGCATTTTTTTTCCTGGTTAGAAATTCATCTTTACAGCACAAGCAGATGACACATTTTCAAGGGAACCCTGACAAGAATGATCAGTTCATAGGGAGTTTGTGATACCCTTAATCAACTCTAAAAATTAAAATCATCTCACAGTTCCTTAGAAGTTAAAAATGTACTTCCTTTTGTAGCTCAGACTGCTGTACGTCCTGCAGCTTGAACACTTGAACTCTTCTGAACTTTATCCTAATTTCTGCTAGAGGTTTGGCATGACTCTTCTGTTTGTGTCTCATGCAAGCTTTCATGGAAGTTTCAGAGGCCTTTGTTTGTCAGCAGTTCAGTCTTGCAATTTTCCTCACTATTGTTGGCACTTGGCACTAATGGTTTCAACCTTGTTGTATTTCCTCCCCATTATTTCAGCTTCAATGAGGCAATGCTCATGCTTGCTGAATTGGTTTTAAGAGCTGCTCCCAGATTGAACACTTAAAAACAAAAAACAGTGATGCTAAATTAAATTCTTGAGAAGAATGAACCATCTTATGCTGTTGCAAGTTTTTGCTGTTTTCATCACCTGGCTGCTCAGGCATTAAAATCTGGTGTAGTTGATGTGGGCATGTGTTGTTGTTTCCTAGGCTGATGAAATGTCTGCTGTTATGACCATAATGATTAGCTGAATCCTTGGTATCTTTGCAATTGCTTCAGAGCATTTCCCAATATGAGATGAATTTGCTTTCTCTATGTTTATGTACTTCAACCATATAACACAGAAAATTTTAGTTATAACATTCTTGTGCATTTTTCCCAATGTGCGGAGGTTTCTTTATTGTTGGTTGGTTGCTAACAATAAGCTTTGAATTAGGCACTCCCCTTTGGCGTAATGGACCTCCTGAGAAGCCAGTGCTGTGCAATGCTTGTGGGTCTCGATGGAGAACAAAGGGGACACTTGCAAACTATACCCCACTTCATGCTCGGATTGAACCTGATGGTTATGAGGATCATAGGACTCCTAGGGTGAAGAGCATATCTATAAACAAAAACAAGGAGGTGAAACTGCTCAAAAGAAAACCAAACTATGATAATGTGGTAGTTGCCCCTGATTACAACCAGGGTTTTCGAAAAGCTGTTGATGAGGATACAAGTAATAGATCGAGTTCTGGGTCCGCCATATCTAATTCTGAAAGCTGTGCTCAATTTGGCAGTGCAGATGCAAGTGACTTGACAGGTTGGACATGCTGCAATTAACTTCTAAATGCTGTTTTTAAGCTTCATGCTTGTATTATATTTCTATTGTCAGCTTCTGTATTTTTTTTTTCACTGGAGTTGAGATCCTGGCTTTACTTTAGAAAGATGTATACTAACTTTTGGACATTTTAAATGCTGACTACTGTTAATTCAAAGTATATTCTTCTTGTTTTTCTTCCAGGTCCAGCCCAATCTAATGTGTGGGACTCAATGGTACCTTCTAAGAAGAGAACCTGTGTAAACCGTCCAAAGCAATCTCCTGTTGAGAAGCTTACAAAAGATTTATATACCATTTTACATGAACAACAGTCTTCATACTTCTCTGGATCTTCTGAAGAGGATTTGCTTCTTGAGAGTGAAACACCTATGGTTTCTGTCGAGATTGGACATGGAAGTGTTCTAATCAGACATCCAAGTTCCATAGTTCGAGATGAGGAGTCAGAAGCTAGTTCTCTTTCAGTTGAAAACAAACAATACTCAATGAGTGAGGCTTATTCACATTCTTCAAGCCTCTTTTTACATAATGATAGCAAGGATTTAAAATTTTCAGGTCGTGGAACTGATAAGGCTAAGAACCCTGGTCAAGGAATGCAGCAAGAGCAACTTAAGAGGTAACTACTCCTATAAAATTTAAGAAGCTTGCTATGTGCCCAGTTATTTATATAATGAGTTAATGATAGAAGTGCACAATGATGGCTAGAAGGTTTAAATCCTAGGAAACTATAAGATAGAATGGAGGATAGATACCCTTGGTGATGAGAGACATGGAAAGGTTAAAATAGGACTCTTAATTGTAGGTTCAGCTGCCTCTCAGGAACTCCAAGTGTCGACTGTCATAATTAGTGATGAATCATATTCTAAGCAATTACCTTGGAGGGAGGGATACAAATATGCATAAAAAAATATGGCCCAGCGGGTCAATGTAAGAGACACATGGAAAATTTGTTACTCAACAGTGGGGCAGAAATTGGAATGTGGTCCTTTCACCTTTCTAATATCTCTTCCCTTTGAAAATTTTCAGGGACAATGCTCGGGCTGAAAAACTACAAATCCTGGGAAGTCATAGTTCACCTCTATGTAATATAGATTTAAATGTAAGCCCCATTCTCCCCTCTTATTTATATTTTTATTTATTATGATTTTAATGATAGAAGCTAACTCTTCAAAGTTGATATCTTAACCCTTGCACTTGTTTGGTTCTACTACAATATTGCTTGCAATATGAAGTTTTCAATACTTCAACTTTGGTTTCCTCTTGAGTGCAAGGAGGCAAGGATCACTGGCCAGCATATTGCATATGCCTATAGAGCTAATGTTTTTTTCACAGATGTTTCACATACTTCTCCTATTAAAAGAAAGGAAAATATTTTGTTCTTGTGAACAGTTTCGTGAGTATTAAGTTACTCAATATATTTCCAATAAGGGTTCACTTTTCAAACATAAAAGTTTTTTGGGTTACTTCTACAATTCTTTCCCCAGCCCTAATCACTCCTGCTGTGGTGGGCTAAACTGATTGTTGAACATACTGCAACATTCCTATTTTGTTATCATTCGCCCTTGAATAGCAGGGCATGTTGTGATGACATTTACATGTGATACAGGACATTCTTAACTTTGAAGAGTTTGCGGAGCACTTGACAAATGAGGAACAGCAGGAGTTACTGAAGCATCTACCTCCACTTGATACAGCTGAACTCCCAGAGAGGTACCTTTCTCCTTTATATTTTAATTTTGCTCTTTGTGATTGAATATGGAGAATGAGTAAGGTAATCATAATTTTCTATGGTACATGATGCCTACTCTGGAAAGAATGGGCTTAGGGCAGCAGAAAAAGGAAATGGTTGCTTATGCAAATGCATGAATGAATGCTGCTCAGTGTTATTATTTTTCATGCCCAAAATCTGTCCTACTTACTTTCTGGAGAGTTTGCTGAAATATGTTGAGTTGTTGAATGTTTGCTCTTGCATCTGCAGCCTCAAAAGCATGTTCGACAGCCTTCAATTCAAGGAGAATTTAACTTACTTTCAAAACCTACTTGAGGAAGGGGTCTTTGATCTCTCACTTTCTGGGGTGAAAATGGAAGACTGTGACACTCTGAAAAGGTTTGCGTTATGCAACTCAGCAAAATCCCATTGGGTGGAACGCTATCACAGGCTTAAGGTCTGAACTGGTTTCTCTAGGAAGTGGATGTTTAATTGTATTCAGTGTGATTTCTCTAGAAAGTGGAAGTCCAATGATTTTTCTGCTTGGTAGTGTCTCTTTGCTACTTATTAGCATCTGTTGTGGTGCCAGACATTTAAAAGCAATGGTGGAGGATCCATTGTGTCTAGAGGAACAAGTGGTACCGGATCAAATAGTATGGCAAATGTCAAGAGAGCACGTGACAACAAAAGTCATAGTTTTCTGGGTTAGTATCTATTTCTTTTCAACTATTACTTTTAATAAGGACTTGTTGAAACTAAATTTCTATTAGCAATAAATATGCTGCCAGGGGTCCTGTTGAATTCTCAAGTTGAAAAATCCCAGCTTAGATTGTCTGATGAGAAATAATGAAAAACAAATCCCAGCTTAGGATATATGGAACAACGAAGAGGCTTGTGAACAGTTATGGGGTTCTAGTGGCTAACAAAGTAACAACAATGGACATGTTCATTAGAAGGTTGACTAATATTCCCCCATCTAGACTGTAATTTGTGGGTGCTGCTGTGCCCTGGCAACTTTATACAAATATAATTTCCCATGGTGGTTGTCATGCTTGTTTAGGACCTTGAAGTAGGTATCAGCAGAGGTAGTGCATCTGCATTTCTCTATTTATTATTCATGCCAGCTACAACTGGAAATGCAAAAACCTAATGACCTCCACTTGGATGCTTGGAATTATCACAATGTTCATAGTTTTGAAATCTTAATTATATGACCTTTGCAGGCCATGTTTTTTTGGGAAGTGTACGGGGCACATAATGTATGGCAAACATGTACTAAACATAATTCATGATACACCTTTATACATTCTGAATTGTTATATTTTGTGTTTTTGCCATCCTCATGAAAGTGGTACTGTTCTGAAATAGTTTCTTCCACATTTCAGAAGCAAAGACTCTGAAGAGCCCCAAAAGGGTGATCATGAAAGCTACTTTTGAAAACAAAGAGCTCTTAGACAATGATGGCTCGTGCTTTAGTCCCAGAAGTTTGTTTGCTTTGCCTCCTGATAGTAGCTCCATGATGCTGGATTCTCTCCATTTTGTTGATGAAATTTCTGATCAGGACCTGCTACTTGATGTGCCATCCAACGGCTCATTCCCAGAGGCGGAGCTCCTTCATCCACCTTTAAGTTTTGGACAACAGGCAAGCACTTGTAGTAGCTCAGCATACCCGCATTTTGTCCACCCCTAGCAATGTTCCTCAAACTATTAGTCTGCTGCTCCTACCAGATCCTGAGAGTTTAGGTCTGCATGTTTTGCATCTAGACATAAAAATGGCTGTGAATTAGGTTTGATGGTTGCTCTTTTTGCCCTCTTATCTTTTCAAACTTGCATTGCGAAGGGGTAAGCTTGTGGTGGGGTTTTTTTTTTTTTTTTTTTGGTTGTATAGGTTGATAGCAGATTGTAATATATAGCTCGAAAAATGCACAAGAGATTATAATCTCCAGAGTTATGCATGCACATGTGGTTTTTGCCTAGCAAAATAACTGTATACACACACCCTTTCCATAGCTTGCTTTCCTTTGTTCCCTTTGATTTTGCCAAGTGGGGAAGATTGAACACAATGAAAGGAACAGGAAAATATGTGGAATCAGTGTTTGAATATGATGAATCGGGGAATTAAACTGTCTGTTCTTGCCTTCTTGTTCTAGGCCACTGATTCAAAGGGCACCATTGTGCATGATCTGTTCTTAGAAAATTCATAGGAACTTTACCGGTGACTCTAAAAACACTGAACGATACTATTTTCAGGAACGTGAAGGTTTCTTACTTAGGAGAAAGCTAGTTTTTGCACCCACAAATGTAAGTGCATGCATATACAAACAATTCAGTACATGTATTCAAATGGAATTTGAACTAGTGACCACTCACCCCATCGCATCCTCTATGAGATAAGATGGATGCCATTGGACACAAAAGTCATGTATCTACCGACGTCCTCCAAAAGCAGCAATAAAAGCAATGGAAGATAAAGTTAGGAAATCCCCAGGATAATCCCAAAAGGTGTGCTGCTTATGACAGGGTAGTGGGCCAAACAGAGCGCTATTTTCTCGGCCAAGGTAAGAAACCTTTGCTTGTTTATCTGAACTGACCCACGAAGCAAATTTCTCCCTTTTCAAGAGTTCCAATTATTCAGCTAAATTTTAGCGTTCACTGACTATGCTTTGGTGCAAAAGTAAACACCATACATCTCCCTTGATTGCAGGGGAGAAAGAAAGAAAAAGCACCACCTTTCAGCGTTTTCCTTCTTTTGACAAACCACTTTCAGCTCGGGCCATGAATGGCTTGACTTGAAACACCATATAATTCAATTCAACAATAGCTTTAGTTGAAGCACACCCAAAGTCATCTGAGCATTCACAAGTTCAAGCATTCAAACAAACAAATAGCCATATATGCAACACGAACTGCAGAATGGGATATGGAATTAGCAAGCTATACACAAAATGCTTTTATCCAAAGAGTATAACTGTACATAGAGTTTTCAAAAATCACTCCATACAGATTAAAGAGCACGAGTCAAAGACTACTTCAAGCCTCCAATTTTTCTATGGTTCAAAGACCTTCATCAAAAACACAAAAAACCTTCAATGACCATTTTCAATTATCTCTTTAGTTCAAATCCCTCCTGTGGCCACCAGCTAGGCTGAGTAAATGCTGTGCCACGCCTCTTCACAACCTCCATGAGACTGAGATGTTTCAGATTTTCATCCTGCATATCATCCTTTGCCAATGCCTTCAACATATTTGCAAGAGAATTTTTTGTGGAGTTCTTATCAGATAAAACATCTGAATTGGGTAGGTTTCCGGCAGTCCCCTCTTTTGCCTTCATGGATGATGTGGCAGCTGCTGCAATAGCCTCCTGCTTTGCATTTGACGATTTGGCAGCTGCAGCCCCCTTTGTTGCACTATGTGGTAATGCAGCAGTTCCCAGGGTTGCATTTGATGATTTGGGAGCAGCAGCCCCCTTCCTTGCATTTGATGATTTGGCAGCAGCAGTCCCCTTTGTTGTATTTTTTGATAATGCAGCAGCACCCACCATGGCATTAGTCCATGATGGCAATATGCGTTTTGTTTCTGCTTTCCTTTCCATTCCACATAATTTAGGATAATTTGCACAAGTGTATCTAAATTTGTCAATGTCCTCCGCATTCATCTCCTTCACACCAGAAGTTCCCTTAAGACAACTCCCCATATTTCTCTCAATCTCAGGATTGATAACATTGGTTTGAAACTCGAATCTTCTTTTGGTATGACTACATTCGCCAACTTTACTACAGGGTGGATGATTTTGCTGAATTTGAGGCTCCAATGTCTCAAAAGAATCCTCAATTTCATTTCTTACATTCCCAGAATGAACTCTCAGAGCTGGACTAGCACTCTTGGACTTTGATATGGCGGAAGAATTCAACAGTTCCTCTGCGCTGGTATGAATATCTTCACCAACTTCACATCTAGATACATAATTTTGCTGATTAGCAAGCTCCAATTTCTCAGAAGAATCCCTATTTTTATCTGTTACAGTCCCAGAAAGATCTCTTGGAGACCTTGACTCCAATTTCTTGGAAGATTTCAACAATTGCTCCCCGGGTTTCTTTTGAACACTTCCTAGACGTAAATCCGGCGATTCAAAACCTGCAATTTTCAACCTTTTCGACGGAAACTCTCCTTGTGATTGCTCAGTTGGAGAAAAATCGCTCTTCGAAACCCTAATTTCATCCGGTTCGCTTTGAATCGCGACGTTTAGACCCGAATCGATCACAACCCTCTGCGTCAATTCCACTTCCACCTCCGAAAACCCTAGATCCGTGTCCCTCCCCAATTTGACTGCCGTCACGTCGCCCGCATAATCGGCATCGACAGGAACAGTATCTCCATCCCTATCGCAAACAACTTCCACGGTTCGATGGTCTACACCGTGCTCGACCGAGGGAGACCCCTCGGGAGGGGTATGGAAGAGGTCTTCGAGATAGGAATTTTCGTCATCCGGAGACTCCGGAGGGGAAACCATGGTAATACGAGTTGAATCCACCGGAATATACGCCGGATTTTGATATTCATCGTCGTCGTCGTCGGAGGAGGAGGATGAGGCTGCAGCGGAAGCCTCGGACTTCCGGAAGAAGCGGCAGCAGCTTAAGAGTGACTCCCGGGAAGATGAAACGTGGCGCAGCTCCGCCTCCATGGTGGTGAAGGTTTCTAAAAGACTCTACTTAATAAACAAATAAATAAATAAATATATATATATATATATATATATTTCTCTGATTCGTCTTAAAATTTTCCCGCCGTCTCATAGCTTTTTACTGTCGATCAAAGCGCTCATGAATCAACGGTTCCGTTGCCGCCAAATTGGCAGTTTTCTTCTTTTCTTCCTCTCTCTCTCTCTCTCTCTCCCTTTTTAAAAAATTTTTTAATTACCTAAAAATAAACTACAAAAATCAACTCAACTTATCATTAAAAAATTTAAAGAAATGAATTAATTTTAAATTAATCAAAATTTAATATAATTTTTAGATATTAATTAAAAAAAAAAGGAAAACTAAATGAGAATATAATTATGAGTGGAAAATTTGAGAGAGTTGAGCCGTTTGAAATTAGTTATAATGAGAAATTTGTCAATTATCCTGAGTTAAGTTTGAAATATTTTGTTGTTAGAAGTTAAAACGGGGAAGCAAAAGCTGTATACTTATGTGATTCTAAGCTGTATACTTATGTGATTCTAAGCTGTAAAAACTGTATATTTACGTGATTCTGAACTGTAAAGTTCGCAAAGAAATAGATTCTCCTTGTACTGAAAAGACAAAGCCTTCCTCCATTTTAGGATCTTCTTGCTCAGAAACTCAATTATCGCCATTTTTCTGCTTATTGCCTTTAATTCTGCAATCATCTCTCTGCTTGTTCTTTGCTACAATTTCTAGGTAAATTTTCATTTAATTTAATTTGCTTTATTTCTCCAAAATTTTATCTTCTTTGAATCTATATATGGAGCTTGTATTATCTTCGTTATATCTCCAAATCAAATGATGTCAGGCATGTGTTGTTGTTGAATAATGAGTTTGAGGCTCTCAAGTCCTATTTGGTTCCCGAGAAATTTGTAGGAAAGGAACAAAGATATCAAAGGTACAGGAGCTGTTCTTGGTGTTGAAGTGGGCAATGAGTTTTAGTATTTTGTGGAGCATAATACCATTGGTCTCCTTTGCCAATCTCAGAATGGTATAGATTATGTGAAGCAAGGTGTCAAGATCCTTGCTACAAGCATCGTAGCATCTGGAGGATACAATGACTTGGACAACTTAGATGTCTTGGGCTACATGGGTCAAGGAGGAAATGTGATGCAGAAAGAGAAGCCACCTATATAAGATTAGAAGCTTATGTAGAAAGATAAGCCACTTGCATAAGATCAGAAACTTGAGAGAGGAAACTTGTTTTAGCAAATAGCAAAGGTGAACAAAATCCTGTTAGAGTTATTCGTGGTCAAGGAAAGTCTTCTGATTCATCAGATTCAAGAGGTGAAAGGTAATGTATATGAGGGACTCTATTTGGCGGAGGACTACAGGCAAGAACTAGGGCCACATGGAAAGCTAGTCTATAAATTTAAGTTAGTTTGAATTCTAGCTCAACCAAAGAGCTTAGTTCAAAAAATATTAAAGTGCATGAAATCTAAGGTACAGGAGGAATTTTGTGTTAGTGATATCTCTCAAGGGAAGGAGTCAATATACATCCGTGCCATGATTTAAGAGTTGTGATTGTACTCAGGGTTGTTTTGATTTTAGGAAGTGTATTCTTGTGTGTTGAAAAATATAGGAGATATCCTATAAAACCATAATGGAGCTACTGATGAAGTGAACCCTTTTATGTATGAGTGTGTTCTTAGTTGCAATTGCCCTTCTTCTTGTCATAATAAAGTCAGCCAGTATAGTATCAAATTTTAATTTGAGATCTTTAAAACTAAATCAAGGGGCTGGGATGTGAGATTACTCAACTCAATTCGTTCAGGAAGCTTTATATGTGAGTATATTGGAGAACTCCTTGAAGAAAAGGAAGCTGAACAAAGAACTGGCAACAATGAGTATCTCTTTGACATTGGGAATAACTACAATGATACCTCTCTTTGGGCTGAAGTTGCAGAGTTCATGCCTGATGCTCCATCAAGTTCTTCACAAGTTGTGGGGGAAAGTGGCTTCACCATTGATGCAGCAATGAAAGGCAATGTGGGGAGATTCATAAACCATAGTTGCTCACTGAATTTGTTTGCACAAAGTGTCCTCTATGGTCATGAAGACAAGAGAATTCCTCATATAATGCTTCGCTGCTGAGAACACACCTCCACTTCAAGAGTTAGCTTACCATTACAACTATATGATAAATCAAGTTTTTGATGCTAAGGACAAAACCAAGAAGAAAGCTAGTTACCGTGGTTCTTCAGAATGCATATGTAGGATGTATTGAAGCAAAGCACAAAAGGGGACTTCATGTAGACGCATTCAAATCAAATAATTCATTATTTTGTTACTCCTTTTTCCAATAATACATTCTTTGCTAAGTAGATAAATCTCTCCTCTCTTTTTTTATTCTGCCTTATATTTTATTGATGTTTTTGGTAGTTGCATTTCTTAGAGTTGGAATCAAGTTTCTCTACATTTTTTCTTTTTGGGTATGAAATTTCTCTTCGCTTCAATTTTATAGCTTGTTTTGTTTGAGAGGGAGAAAAAAATCATTAATAATCAATCAAATTACTTCCTTAGTCTAACAACTTAAACTCCACTTGGTATAGTTTTGATTTTAGATTTTCAATTTTTAATTTTTATATATTTATTAACTAGTACTACGTTTAAAGTAAATTTAATAAATTTAAATTTTTATAATACATTTTAATTTTTAAATATAGTAATAATTATTAAATATATAAACAATAAAAACTTAAAATTTAAAATTATAACTAAAGCTATACCAAATGAAAATTTACTTTTATTAGTCAAAATAAGCCCATAACTTTCCCTAACTTTTATTTTTAATTTTTTTTTTAAAACCAAACAAGTTATTAATTAATAATAACGATGGAGAAGAAATGAAAAAGAAGAAAGTGAAAAGGGAAATCTCGAATCTTCTATTCATAAAAAAGTTTGTACAGAATCTCTATTTATATATATGGCAACAATGGCACTTAAGGACACTTGAGGACTGACTTGTATTAAATGCCAAACATTGGGGATTAACTAGCATCAACATTATTCCTTTTAACATCCCCCTCAAATAGATGTCATTGTGTAACATTGACATTATGTTTGTAATCCACTCATGTTGTGAAGTAGGAAGACCTTTGGTGAAGATGTCTACTAGTTGCTTAGTTGAAGGGACAAACCTCAAATGAATTTCTTTATCTTCTACCTTTTCTCAAATGAAGTGGCAATCCAACTCAAAATGTTTGCTCCTTGCATGAAAAACAGGATTTAAGCAAGCTTGATGGCACTTTGATTATCACAAGCAAGGAATGCATTAGAAATTTTGATGCCTAGCCCAGAGAAGAGATGTCTAAACCAGGCAAGTTCAGCTGTTGCATCTGACATGGCCTTGTATTCAACTTTTGTGCTAAATCTAGACACCTTTCGTTGCTTCTTGCTACTCCATGAAATGGGGGAACCAACAAAGAAAACACGAAAACCATAAATGGATTTTCTAGAATCTGGATCTCCTCCCCAATTAGCATCTGAGAAGGCAACTAGATCAACTTTTGTCTTATGAGTTGAAAAGAACAATCCATTATGTAGTGTACCTTTGATATACTATAAAATCCTTTTTGCAGCTTGAAGATGTGCCTCTCGTGGATCATGCATGAATTGACACACTTGATTTACTGCATATGTGATATCTGGTCGAGTAAAGGTCAAGTATTGCAAAGCTCCCACAAGACTTCTATACTTCTCAGGATGCTTCACGAGAGTGCTTTCCTTTTGAGACAATTTACCACCAAGAGCCACTAGTGTTGGTGTCGGCTTACAATTATCTAAGCCAAATCTTTTCAAAAGATCAAGAGCATACTTTTGTTGAGTTACTTTCATTCCATGTGATGAGCGTTCAATCTTTATCCCCAAAATATATTTAAGATTCCCTAGATCTTTCATGGCAAACTCACGACCAAGAGTATGCTTCAATGTGTTAATTGACTCCTTGGCATTTCCAATAATAATAATGTCATCAATATAAACAAGTACCATGACTAATTTTTTACCTTCTCTCCTAAAGAACAAGGAGTTATCTGATTTACTCTTAGAATATCCACTTAAGAGAAGTGTTTTGCAGAGACTTTCAAACGAAGCGCAAAGAGCTTGTTTCAATCCATAAATTGCCTTTCTTAATTGACAAACCCATTTATTAGTATCAGCAACATTGTACCCTTGGGGTTGCTCCATATACACTTCTTCTTGTAGTTTTCCATGTAAGAAGGCATTTTTCACATCCAATTGATGAAGTAGCCATTCATAGTAATTTGCCATGTCCAAAGCTAGTCTCATAGTCCTTATTTTCACAATTGAACTGAAAGTTTCTTCATCGTCCAATCCATATTGTTAATTGTAGCCTTTAGCTGCCAAACAAGCCTTGAATCTTTCAATTGTACCATGATACTTGTGTTTAATTTTATAAACCCATTTGCACCCAATTACATTTTTCTTCTCAGGTCTAGGAACCAACTCCTATGTGCCATGTTGAAGTAGTGCCTTAAATTCTTCATTCATAGCATCAATCCACTGAGGGTGTTGCATTGCTTCATGAAATGAAGTTGGTTTTGTATCTTGACAAGTCGTAGAAAACTTGGAGCAATTATTTTCCTTTTCAATGTTTGCAAAGAGTGCCCAATCTTCAATAGGAAAATAACGTCGTGGTTTAGTTTCACAAAAGAACCTTCGAGGCAAATTCTCATCTTGTATGGCTGTAGTCTGGTTGCTTGTATTTTGAATGTCATCTACAAGACTTTCACTTGTATTTTCAAAATTTGATGGCTCAAGAATAGGTTAAGGAGACGGTGGACTTACAAGAGCTTCATTGCTTGAGCTGGGTTGTTCAATTTCTCCATTGATGAACCATCACTTGCTCCCTTTGATGGACTTTCAAAGGACATAGATGAATTGTATCTAGGAGATGTTGAATTTGAAGCTAAATTAGCACCTTCACCTGCAGAGATAAGAGTAGAACTATCATAGAAAAAATGATTTTCATCAAATGTAACATGTCGTGAAACATAGACCTTCTTTGTTTTTGGAGAATAACACATGTATCCTTTGTGTTCATCACTGTAACCAACAAACACACAAGTTTTTGATTTTGGAGATAATTTCTTTCTAAGAGCCTTGTCAATAAGAACATAACACTTACATCTAAATGCCCTAAAAAATGAATAATCAGGTAGCCTTCCTGTTACCATATGATATGGAGACATGTCGTCTGGGTTTGCAGAAGTTGGTAGCCTATTAATGACAAACATAGCTGTATGAAATGCTTCTGTCCACAAATGATTTGAAACTCCACTATGGAACATTAATGAAAGTCCCAATTTAGTAATGTGTCTATGCTTTCTTTTAACAATTCCATTTTGAGATGGAGTGTAAGGACAAGAAAACTGTTGCTTTATTCTCATGGAAGAGCAGAAAAATCTAAATGCTTGAGAGCAGAATTCAGTTCCATTATCGCTTCGAAGGAATTTAATTGGCAACTGATAATGCTTTGTCATGAAAGCATGAAAAGACTGAAAAGCATTCAACACATCAGCTTTAGTTTTTAGAAAATAAATCCAAGTATAACGAGTAAAGTCATCAATAAAGCTAACATAATAATGGGAGCCAGAAGAAGAAACCAAATCAAGAGAACCCCACAAGTCTATATGTATTAATTCAAGGAAACTAGAACTTTTTTTTTTTTTTCAAAAGTACAAAATGGCAATTTATGATGTTTGCCAAGTTGACATCCCCTACAAGTAATACTAGTTGGGCTTTTACTATAAAAAGGCAGTACATTCTTCTTTCTCAAAATTTCAACATTGGCATAATTAGTATATGCTAGCTTATGATGCCATAATTCTGTTGATATATTAGGTTTCCTTGCAGACAGAGCTGCAACAAAAAGAGTTTGAACTTCTTCACTCTCCAGCAGATATAGACCATCTTTACGTCTCCCTCTAACGAAGATTTTCCCCAATTGTAGATCCTTCACCAAAACAATGTCAGGAGTAAAAATGAAGGCACATTGAAATTGATAAGCAAATTGAGATACTGATAATATGTTCTTTTTGAAATTTGGGACAAGAAAAACATCAAGAACAGTTATAGAGCCCATTGAAGATGAAATCAAAGCTTTACCAATGTGAGTGATTGGTAGTGCAGGTCCATCTCCCATGACAATACAAGACTACCCTTTATATGGAACAATATCAGTAAGCTTACCAGGATCTTCGGTCACATGACCGATAGCTCCCGAGTCTATAGCCTAGTTGCTCTAAGAGATTGTTGAAGAAGAGGCTATGGAATGTGTCAAAGCTACTGGTTTATTTTGATTTTTGTATCTGTAATAACATTCCGAAGCAAGATGATTGAATTTACCACAAATCTAGCAAGCCTATGCATTAGCTGGAGTAGGAAGAATTTCACGACCACCAAAATTACGTCCAGATCCTGAATATTGGTGATAATTTTGATTAAAGAACTATCTTCTCCCTCCATATCCATGTGAAGGGCTATAATTTGAAGAATTATAAGCACTGAAATTTCCTCTTCCTCTTCCTCGACAGTTCCTCTTCCTCGACAGTTCCTCTTCCTCTATTGTTGTGATCATACTAAGCATTTGTGTAGAGTACATTATGACTTGCACTGCTTTGCAATGAAGTTTCTGTAACTCCGTTGGATGCATTTGAAGTAATGTTAAATGCAGCTCATGTTGAAGTAATAGTGTCTTTAAGTCATCATAAGAGGGCAAAGGTGGCTTAGCCAACACAGCTGTGACAAACATTTTGTACTCTTCACCAAGACTAGCAAGAACATGACGAACCTTCTATAAATCATTCACAGGGTGTTGAATAATAGCCAGTTGATCAAAGATTTTCTTCATCCTATTTTAATAATCTTCAATAGATTTTCCATCTCGCTTGGTATTTTGTAATTCATTTTGGAGATACATCAATCTGACTTCAGATTGTTGAGCATAAGACTTACATAAAGTACTCCAAAGTAGCTAAGCAAAGGGTATATCAATTACCTGAGCAAGAATTTCAAGCAAGAATTTCAAGAGAAAGAGTAGAATTGATCCAAGCAATAACTTGTCATACCACTTCTCGTATTCAGGATTGGGTTCCATATTGGTCTTGCCTTTGTCATCCTCTAACTCAACAAACTCCGAAGGTGCTGGCTTTGACCCATCTAAATAACCCATGACTCCATATCCTCTTGCAATTGGAACAATTTGTCTCTTCCATAGTAAGAAATTATCAGATGTAAGCTTTTGTGTGACGAGATTTGATAAAGATGAAGAAGCTATAGTCTAAGATGATTGAGGCAACATTATGTCAGTTAGGGCTTTGAAAGATTGGGAATTTTATCTGGTAATGAGAGAAAAGGTTGTGAGATATAAGATCAGAAATTGTAGATAATAGAATTATGATTCGAAGATGGAATTGTTGGGTCACCGTAAACTGGAGATTTGCTTAGCTTTGATACCATAATAACAGTGGAGAAGAAATGAAAAAGAAGAAAATATAAAGGGAAATCTCGAATCTTCTATTCATAAAAAAGTCTATACAAAATCTCTATTTATATATATGGCAACAATAGCACTTAAAGACACTTGAGGACTGACTTGTATTAAGTGCCAAACATTAAGGATTAACTAGCATCAACATTATTCCTTCTAACAATTAATTTACTAAATAATTTCGAGCAGTGCTAGGGCCACTCACCTCCTGCACTCTCCGGTCAACACTGCCACTTTTATTGGGCCATGGAAGCTTGCCTCGAGGTTTTGAGACGCAATCTCTTAAATCAAAATAATGTGGCCCAATAAAAATGGAGGTGTAGGCCGGAGAGTGCAGGAGCCGAGTGCCCCTAGCACTGCTAAAAAATTTAACCGGTCTAGTAGTTAAAATGCCACTGGTTAGTGGAGATCGCACTAACAAGTAGTTTCGGCCCGAAGCGAATAGAGGCCCAAAAGGGTGGCCCATCCGAAATTCCAATTTCCAATGTTAGATACTTGGATTGATTCTACTAGTACCGTGGGGAAAGGAAAACCGCGTCGTTTCACCTCAAAATAGAAAAAAGACAAAACGTCTTGACGACAGTCTACGGTATCGTGCATGCCGCTGCTACAGGCAACTGCCAGAACTGGCAAAACAGTGCGCCTCCGCTCTCTTCGGACGGACGGACGGACGGACGGTTTCCGGGCCACAAAACTAGGAAGTGCACCATCCGGCCGCCCCTGCGCCGTTGATTTTCCTCACGACTAGCTCTCTCTCCATCTTTGGATCACTTGTCGCTTGGATTCAGGCTTCCCGCTGTTTTGTACCTTCCCCTGCTTCATTTCGTCGAAGATTTTTCGGTATTTTTCTATCCTGATTTGCCTCGTTTCATGAATATCCTTGTGTTTGAGATTAGGGATGAAGCGATGGTGAGAGTGGTAGGACGAGAATAGAAGCTATCCTCTCTTACTTTGTCGTTTTGGTAAGCTTATGTTTGAAGCTAGCTTTGTTTGGTTTCCGAGAAAATGCGCCAAAGTAAAAGAAACCAAAGTAATTAATGCATTTCTTGCCTATTAGTGAATGATGTTTTGACTTTTGATTTCCTTTCCTTTTCCTCTTCGTTCTCTCATTTAATGCAATTTATTTGATACGGATAAGATTTTTCCGGTTACTTTCCGACCTAATTTACTTAAATTTTTTGAATATCTGATTTGAGATTCTGCTGGCGATTCATTCAATGGTAGTGATAATGAAGGTGCGAGATTCTTTTAATTTATCATCGATTGATTTTAGGTTGAATATTTGAACAAATCTTATTCTTTTTCAAACTGGAGTAAAACAATTTTAGTTTAAGTCTGAGCTGATTGTAGTTTGATAATGTTGATATTTGTTTGTAGGATGGTGTTTGGCTATCACTTTGCTCCAATATAGTGCTTGGAATGGGATGGGGGTTTTCACTGAAATAGGTTGGATAAATATTGGTGGAAAGTTTTTGCACTGAGGAATGATAGTTAATTTGAGGGATATTAGGAATTTGCCGAATGGAAAGTGGTCATTTTGCTTCTAACTCTGGTAGACCCATGTCCGGGCGGCAAAAAGTTTACAATGTTCGGCATTTTCCGCCTGGATGTTCTGCTGCAGGAACCACTGGACAAATTGCTATAATTGAGAGTCCAACTGCTTCTCATAGAAGAGTCCTGCCATTCAGAGACTACCCTAAGTTTTGTGGAAGGGATGCCCCATATCTAACCAATGAAGTGAGCATGCTTGAGCTTAATAAGAATGAGAATTTGGGCCAAGGGAAAAAAGTTTTGCATTTGTCTGGATCTAAGAATCAATTGCTGAAGGAAGATTCTGGTAGTGTACAACATTCTAGTTGTCCTTGGAGGCAGGGGAAAAAGGCCAGCAAACTTGAGCTGCCCAGAGATTCACCTAAAAGAAAAGGAAAGAAATATCATGTTTATGATGACAATGATGATGTAGTTCCTCGGAGTTCATATAGTTGCAAGGATGGATCATCTGAGGGAGATCATGAGAATTCAGAAACTGCTTCAGACAGATTGCTTAGGCATGGTCTAATGGCTTCATCAAATTGTCTTTGGAAGCAAAGAATATCACCTGGCATTTCTGAGCTGCATGGTGGTTCCCATAGAAGAGAAGGAAAGAATCACTCCACACATGAAATTCTTGAAAATGATGTAACTGCTAGGAGTAAGGTGAGAGAGATATTGCGTCTATTCCAAGCTGTCTGTAGGAAGCTCTTGCAGGAAAAAGAGTCAGGGTTGAGGGGAGGAGGACGTATGAGGGTTGATTATGAAGCAGCAGGGATGCTCAAGAATAAATGGGAAAAAATCCGCCCAAGCAAAAAAATCATTGGACCTGTTCCAGGTGTTGAAATTGGTGATGAGTTCCAGTATGTCATGGAGCTTTTTCTCATTGGTCTCCATTGCCAAACTCAGAACGGTATAGATTATGTGAAGCAAGGTGACGATATTATTGCTACAAGCATCATAGCATCTGGAGGCTATGATGATGACTTGGACAACTCAGATGTCTTGAGTTACATGGGTCAAGGAGGAAATGTGATGCACAAAGACAGGCAACCTGAAGATCAGAAACTTAAAAGAGGAAACCTTGCTTTAGCAACTAGCAAACTTCTAAAGACTCCTGTGAGGGTGATTCGTGGTGAGGCAAGATCTTCTGTGGAACCAGATGCAAGGGGCAAGTTATACACCTATTATGGACTCTACTTGGTGGAAGATTTTTGGAAGGAACTAGGGCCACATGGCAAGCTGGTTTTCAAATTTAAGTTGGTCAGAATTCCAGGTCAACCAGAGGTCCCTCAGAAAGTAGTAAAGAAGTCTAGAAAATCTGAAGCAAGGGAGGGTGTCTGCGTAAAGGATATCTCACAGGGGAAGGAGCTATTCCCAATCTGTGCCATAAACATGATAGACAGCAAGAAACCCCCAACATTTGGATATGTTACTCGCATGGTATATCCTGATTGGTTCCACACCACCCTTCTGGAGGGTTGTCATTGTACTTACAGTTGTTCAGAATCTGGTAACTGTTCCTGTGTAATGAAGAACGGAGGTCAGATCCCATATACCCATGATGGGGCTATTGTTAGAGAAAAACCCCTTGTTTATGAGTGTGGTCCTACCTGCAAGTGCCCTCCTTCTTGCCACAACAGAGTTAGCCAGCATGGCATCAAATTTGAGCTTGAAATCTTCAGAACTAAATCAAAAGGCTGGGGTGTAAGATCCCTGAATTCCATCCCTTCTGGAAGCTTTATCTGTGAGTATGTTGGGGAGCTGCTTACAGATGAGGAAGCTGAACAAAGAACTGCCCAAGATGAGTATCTATTTGACATTGGAAATAACTACAGCCATGGTGATCTTTGGGATGGACTTTCAGCCCTCATTCCTGATGTTCAATCAAGTAGTTCTTCCCAAGATGTTGAAGATAGTGGCTTCACCCTTGATGCAGCACAGTATGGTAATGTGGCAAGATTCATAAACCATAGTTGTTCTCCTAATCTGTATGCACAAAATGTCCTTTATGATCATCAGGACAAGAGAGTTCCTCACGTGATGCTCTTTGCCACTGAGAACATTACTCCTTTGCAAGAGTTAACTTACCATTACAACTGTAAGATAGATCAGGTTTATGATGCCTATGGCAACACAAGGAAGAAAAGTTGTTTCTGTGGTTCTTCAGTGTGCACTGGTAGGATCTATTGAAGGATGCACTGACCTTTTTGCTTTTACCACTGTAAGTGTTTTTCCTTTTAGGCATTGGTTGTTAATTAAGCTCCCATATGCATGCTTAGTCGGATGATCCTTTAATCATATACCATGTTTTACCGAAGTTCTTTCCATTTTGCAGAGAATGATAGTTGTTCTGCCATGCTGATTGTTAATTACCAAAGAGAGCTTTTGATCTTAGTTATGCTCCAACAAACTGATAGTCAGTTATGCCCTTCCTCTACTCAGTACACTTTGAAAGGCAGACACTTCCACTTGAGGTTCTCCACAATTCAGGTTTAGTTTGAAATATGTGTTTTGAGAAGACTAGTTGTGATAGGCAGACCTTTATGACCCTTTCCTTACTTCTAGATATCAGGTGGTCCAGGATTCAGTATGATTTTGTGTGCATAGTTCTAATTTTAGCCAACTACTTCCACTACAAAATACTTATAATATGTTACTGTAATGTGGTTGGCACATACAACCAGAGAAAAATTTCTCTAAAAGGTGAATCATTTCTTTAATTTTTAGCGAGTTCTCTCATAATTGCTCTAAGTGGAACTTTATTCACATATATTAATTCATAACAGAAGTACACAAATCCCAGTTTTTATTGAGCAAGACACAGCACTTTGGCCTAACACTCCCACAATTATGAACTAATTAAACTAGGTAGTCCCTATTTGTAGTCTAGAAATTGACATTATTCCATTAAACAGACTTAGTGGAGTTCAATGTCTGATTGGTAAGCAACCCCACCCTTCCAATCACCTGGAATGACATTCCAAGCCTCCAACCATATGTAGGAGCCATGACTCCCGGTCACTTGCAACCTCAACGACACCGGCCCCCTCGGTGGATTCTCTGCGTCGAATACTGTTCCAAACACCCTTCTCATGCTCCGCCATTCCTTGCAATCCTCCTGTGACAACCACCAATCAAAGTTTTAAGAACATAAAATATATCGTAGCTTCTTTTTTAAGTAAAAAGAAACTGTTCTAAAAATTAGGTCATAAAAAATTGATATAATTACAAAAAAAAAAAAAAAATTTAAAACTATTGTAGTGTATATACCTGCCAAATTTGCATGTTCAAGACATCATTTTTGCCAGCTTGGTATAAGATTAAAATGGCCAAGTAATTAGGGTTATTGCTGTGCTCATGGACCTTGAAGACGGTCTTGGTACCGGGGTAGCGACAGGGGATTCTCCGGAATTCTACGTCAACCACACCGTAAGCAAAGAGCTGCTCGGCCTTGTCGTTGGACTTGGCCATCCATGCGTAGGCGCGTGGGCTGAGGATGAAGTCGGTGTGGTCTCCTTCACCATGGTCAGTCACCACTACGTTCACACCATCTTCAGCACAGAGCTCTGCATTTGTGCACCTCACCTGAATTTATTAATTAATCAACATAAAGTAAGAGTTTAGTGGGAACATGCTTAACTTATGCATTAGAATTTAGAAATTAAAAAAAAAAAATTTTGAAGAAAGTATCATTGTTTAAATGAACTTATGACACATCATGAATCCAAAAGTTTTACGACTTTATGGGTGTACTTATTGAGAAAAATAATTCATTTGTGTTGGCAATTTTCTTACATATTGAAGATTTTTGAAAGAATAAAGGAATCTTTTATTTTAAAGTTTCATGTTCAAATTGTTAAATTGTCTTTTAGAATCGTCTTTTAGAAATAACGTTGAAGTTTGATGACCTGATAGCAAGCACCACAGCCACTGCCGTCTCTCCAAAGCTTAGAGACCCCGGAAACATGGCCGTCATAAATGTTCCTTCCATACTCACCAAACCCACAAGCTCCAGCTAAATTGAAACATCAACAAATTGCACAATTAATCTTAGAATACATTACATATAAGTTTATAATTTAACAAACTAATAATTCATAGGCAAATACGGGTATGTACTACAAACTAATGCACATACTTGGGGTACCATAGCAATCTGGGCTGCCATAATAGGTTGCTCTGGAGCAAACAAAGTCATCCTGAGAGTAAGACAGAGCAGGCAATAGCCCTGTAACACAAAGAAAGCAGTAAAACAATGCAGACCCCATTTTTCAGCAACAGAAAGGAGATACACCCAAGAAGAAGATATTTAAGTTATATATAAAGAAGAAGATATTTGTGGGATGGAAAGCAAAGAAATAGGGATGGCATATTTATAGCAGAGTAGAGGGCATGAGAGGCTGCTGTAGGTTTGTGCTTCCACTTGGGAGTAGGGAGTCCAAAAGGGTCTGAGGCAGCAGGATTAATCATGAATGATGTGGGTACATGTCATTGATTCCTCCGTCGATAATGAATGCATAATTATGTTAAACAATTTTTTTTTTTATCAGCAATTATGTTAAACAATTAATATTAAGTTATACTGACAAATGTTGATTCTGCCTAACTTTTCTCAAGTCATTCACTTCTGAGAGTATATTTACACCTTTGTTACTATACCTTTTAGGGTACCAATCGTGGTTTTTGTGCGATTAAAGGATGCATTATGTTAATGAACACGAAGTTGGTACTGACAAATGTTCGTTACCGCTAAACTTTTCTCACTGGTTTTGCCTTTTAACAGCTTCTTGCATCCGCAGGGTGGATTGGTGAGTATGATTGGTCCTTTACTTGCAACTTCGTTGCAGGACCATTGAAATGAGTTTTTAACTACAATAATGATTCATTAACAACGTTTATTAAAAATAATCACATAATTTCAAGTAGCGGATGCATATTAGTTAAGATGTTATTCTAAGTAAAAAAAAAAACCATACTATCATATTACGTTGTTAACAAACATTTCAATGAATGATTTTCATTTTCCTTGATCATTAGCAGACTATTGAAGTTCATCCCCACCTTACATCTTATTTCCATACATCCAGCCCAGAGTAAGTTGACAGTGAGACTTAATCCTCGTATATATGCTTGAAAGTTAGTAGTCATAAATAATTGCTTCTAAAACAAGAAGTATTCTCTGTTCTTCATCACCCATATTGTATTTTGTTAATGAGTCTGATTTTGATTTGTTGACTGAGATCCTAAAAGGTAAAAAATTATGAACAAATAAAAAAAATTATTAATTTACAATTATAATATGTTACTAAATAAATAAATATAATATTCAATCTATAAGTTTATAATAAAGTAAAAACCACCAACGCTAGGCCTAATTCAATTGCTGTGTTGTAACGCACTAAAACTAGGCTCGCTCTGTCAAAACACAGCCAGTGGTATCCCCTCATCCGTGTCCAAATCACATCTCGATAATGATTAAGATTAGGGGTGAAAGCACCCGAGACTTCCTGCTTTAGATTTGCTTTGCAGGTTTTGGAAATACGAAATTGATTTGATCTTGTACTCCTGAATTTTATAGAAAAAAAGAGACCCCAGTCGTGGTAGGTGACTCCATTTAACGCTAGGTCACCTTCTAGCCACCTTCCTTAATTATTCATGTTTAAAAGATTGGGATTATGGACTTTGGTCGGAGATCACTCCATTCATTCTCTATCCATCCACTTTCCTCTTTTATTAATGCATAATCTTAAGTAGAAACGCAACAGTGCAAAATGAAGAAAAGAGTTCATTGTTTTATTAAATTGAAAAACTGTCAGATATGAATTATTAAATAAAAAAATACTTATACTTCAAATATTAAAAAACCTATTCTTATTTAATAGTTTATATTATATTAATTTAAGTTATATAATTTCATATAGTTTAGATTTTAAAATTTTTTTAAAAGAGCATTGCAATCCAAAATTTTGTTTAAATTAAAATCTTGTATAAAATTGAAATATTGAAATAGAATGTCGCCTATGCCACTTAATATAAAAGCAAATTCGGGACTAGAAATCCTGTATGTACAGATTTGATGGTTACATTGTTTTTTTTTTTTTTTTTTGAATTGATTCATTTGCATCATTGAGTTTTAGGTAGCAAATTTACATTTTACCCAAGACATCGCAAATGCACGTAGTAGGGCGGCGGTGTTTTGGATTGAAATATTAAATTTACCCAATATTTCCATTTTCAATCATTTTATGAAGGTAATACTTCCGAATCCACTTTTTAAATAGATTGGTAAGGATAGATTCATCTCTTAAAAATATATAAAGATAAATTATCTTTTTAAATTATAAATTAAAATAAATAACTCATTTTTTAACAAAAAATATCAATTCTATTTATCATATCAACATTTTCTAATGAAAAAAGTTAAAAATAAATTATTTGTCTAAATTTATAATATAGAAAGAAAATTTATCCCTATATTTTTTTAAAAGATGGATTTGTCCATGTCCATGTATTTAAGGGATAGTTTTGAAGGTTGTACCTTCTGCAAATGCATGACACAGAGGTACCCCTTTAGTGCAAACAACAATAATGTCCTGTCAAACTCCAGGACCAATATCAGAGAAGCTACCGTATATTTAAATTTAGGACATACTCCAAAATCACATAAAACCACATAATAGTAAATAACTAAGTTAGTTCACAGAGATAATTTACCATTCGAGAGAGTAAGGGAGAGGTGTAAGACAGACAAACTTAATCTAGAGAGACCCAAGTCTGAGATGGTGCCCATGTTAATGGGCTTGAATAATGACATCACTCAGTCAATGGGTCCTTCCACTTCTGAACAAATTATGCAAGCGACTATTGAGACTTAGATCTAATATATATCTATGGTTGCCATCTGGAACATTGTGTACTCCAACTTGCATACCACATTTTGTGTTGTTTGTGATCATGTGGGGAAAAAGGTCATGCGACGGGGATGGAGCTAATTTGTGCAACAAAGCACAATAACGACCAACCAACAATGCCTCTTCAATTACTCGCTATCCAACTCCAGCAATACTTAACAGATCAATTAAAAGCAAATCGCAAGGTGTAAAGATTATACGGTCACTATATCTAACCACCACTATACCTACTCCACTTTTCCAGGTAATCACTAAGTCTAACCAGCACTATTGCAATCACACTATTCCAGGTGTTGTTTGCTGGAGAAATTGTCTTGAGAGAAAAAGCAATAATTGTAAAGGCAGCATGATTCTGAAAAAAGTACATTTCCATAATCTGATCAACAACAGAAACTTGCTATAATGGGTGTGGAAGTGGAAAGAGAGAGTTATGACAGAGATTGGAGTGTAATGTTCAATAAAAACATAACACATCAATAAAGCATTCTTGCTTTTCCAGCTCTAACAGTATGTTAGCAATCAACCTAGCATCAAGCATCAAGAGGCAGAGATGGTTTTAATCATTTCCTTAGAGAAATGGAGGTTTGTTGATTTTCAGGTTCATTTTTCACCCAAAATGAGTGAACGCTCAGCTACACCATGATAAGGTAGTTGTAGACAAAAATGTACCAGAGGCTACATTGGGTATCAAACTGAAAAGAAGCATCAATCCTGTCTAGAAGAATATGTACTTAATGCAGATGAGACTGATTAGATATTGTGGACCCAGCTATACCCTACTTAGTACAGCATAGTGCCCCCAAAATTATGTTATTTACAACAAATAGTAATGCACACCATATAATGAGTAATGTGAAGGACTTCACAAAAAAGTATAGCAACAGATTGCCTACTAAAAAGGGGGCCTTTAATTCTCACCCCTGAGCTATTCTACACTAATATATTAGATTGCATGATTAGAATTTAATCATCATATAATTCATGGGATGAAGATGATTTTACCTTAACAGTTGAACAATCCACCAACAAGTTTTTCTGCAGTCAAAGAAGCTGCACCTTTTTTAGGTCAGAGACAACACCTTGGTCTTTGGTGCTCCTTTCATTGTACAATACCTGCAACGAAATATGAAAAATTAATTTAGAATGGCATGAAAACTAGAAAAAATTAAAAAACTCTCTCCAGTTAAAGAACCTTAGCTATGATGCCATATTCAACTGCCTCACTGGGCATAAAGTATTTTGGGTGCCTGGAATCATCTTCAATCTGCTCAGCTGATTTTCCAGTATGCTTTGCAAGGAGATTAATCTGGAGTGCAAATCATATCACAGATATGCCAACTGGTATGTTAGATTAAACTTAGAGATGCATGCAAAAGAAGAGTTTTCCCTAGTGACCTAACAATAACTGGTTAACAATTATAAAACATTCCAGCCGCTTAAGTCGGGCAAATGGAAACCTTGTACTGCAGAACTGTACCACTGTTAGCATAGATCATAGACTCTCTCCCCATCCATAATAACTCTTATTGCCCAAATTTGCAACATTATTAACAGTATTTCTTTCATTAAATTATGTCCACCATCAAACGCTTATAATTCTGTTTTGAAAATTCAAGCAATGACATTTACAAGGTGGAAATAGTATCACAAACTTTTAACTGAATCAAAATGCAAAATATCTAAATCAACGTTGATACTGGAAGTGGAAAAGCAAAATTACAACAAACACCTCAACAACCTCTATTGCTTAGAAATTTCATAAAAATATATTATAATCACAGTAGAGTAAAACATAAAAATCCAGACAACAGAAAATAAAAACTAGTCACCATGCAGGCACATGTTATCTCACCCTTTCAGCATGCTGCCACTTTTGAGATTGGTTTCGAATCTTTAGAGTTGACCTTGGCTTCAAAATCCAAACATCTTTTAAAAGATAAGCATCTGTTTATTCTTGATCAGTCCCTTTTTAATCCATTTTGGATGGATGGAGAAACAATTTGTCATAAACAAACTTATGATTATGCTAATATAAAGTTGTAAACACACCTCAGGTCAATTATATTTGATGGTAACACGTGAAACCATACAAATAAACTTATCTAACATGCTTGATGGTTGGTCTTACCAACTGTCTTTACATTCCTTAATTCCTTTCTTGCTAGGTCAACATCTGTTGCTTGACCTTGAAGCCTTGCAATTGGCTGAAGAATGATAGAGGGAAGGAGGCACAATTCATGTTAAACCATGTTAAAAAAAAAAAAAAAAAAAAAAAGGGCCAATCAAGTTTTTAGAGACATGAATATCTTAGAGTGTTCATTCGTTTAGAACCAACCTGCCTTACCATTATTGGGCATCAAGGAAAGGCAGAATGATTTCCTTTTGCACCAGAAGCCAAAAGTAATGCAGCTTCTCCCCCTAGCATTTCCAATGCAGAGAGTAAAAATAGGTGCAGTGGACAAAAATATTGAGAAAATAAAAGAAAATCTTGTGGTAAAGTAAAGAAGCAGATTTTAGCAGAGTCAGCATCCACAAACTCATTCAAGATTCCTTTTAATGTTTCAAATACAAAAACCAATAATCAAATTCTACAATGCTGCCTTAAGAAGTTTGCAAATTAAATATAGGGAAAGCATGGTGAAACTTAATTAAAACAGCTTCCCGATCTTAGACAACAAAGCTCTACATCAATCCAAAATCAAAAGCTTAATCAAATGTATACTGTGGATTGCTTTTAACACAACTTAACAATGAAGTAAAGCGTCATAGAGAAAATTAGAAAGATAAATGACCTCATGGCATCATAAACTGCCAAAGCTTCTGTCTCATAGCCCAGCTTCTGACCACCCTGAAAAATGTGAAATACATATTTTTTAAATACGTCCTTAGATGGTGAAATCTTAAAAAGAAAAATCTTTCAGTTTTTATGGTTATTCTACTTAAAAATCTTTATGTGGTTAGGTATATAACTAACCCTTTTTCATTCCCTTTATTTGGATAAAACTTTTGCACACACCAGCACATATGCCAGCCTCCATTCTAACAGATGATCAAATCTGCTTACCTTTTGGGTTCCAGTTGAGTTCATGTGCATCTAAATTGGCTTCTCCTCATCTTCATATTGTAGGTAAAGAAATTCTGCAAGCATCAATTCCGTGACAGAAGGGACTAGAGGCATGCCCAAATAAACGATCCTGTTCCTGAACAAGTATGATGCTAAGTCTGGTGGAGGTTGCTCCCATGCACTTCCTTTTGCAAATGGAATGACCTATCAATAAAATGCTTGCAAAGAAAACATTCATACATACATACACACATTTGGCAAGCATACACAATAATGCCCATAAAGTATTAACCAAGCTGCATGCTTGAATTAAACTCTAATAAGAAGTCATCAATATTCAGGCTGAATTTGACTATAATATATATGCATAAGGTTTAGTTTGCATCAAGCTCAACCAAACTAATGGAGCTTCATCTCATCTTTTACTGTAACATTTATGTTAATATAAGCATTCAGCAACAAATTAACTTCTAGTTCTTGATCCACTACTCTGTTTCATGTAAACTTTCTATCGAGTAAAATGGAGAATCAGATGCACAGGAAAAGGCATTAGAAATCAGATTAGCTCATGAATCTTAGATTAAAAGCGTACATTGGTTACGAAATTTCGTTTTGGCTTGGACCTGGGGAGGAAAAAATGGATTGAGAGGCTCGGAACGAATCGTGTGTCAGGAAAACTCTCCAGAGCCGCTTCCGGTGGTGGTGAAAGAGGCCTTTAGTCTTGGGCTAGGATTAGCTGTTCGTGCGGAGGCGTATGGCGATAGCATGCGCGAGTGGAGCGCGAAGTTAGATGCTGCCCCGGCGGCAACCTCCATTGGCGGCCGCTACGATGCTGCGAAAGGAACTGCAGACGGTGGTTTGCGGGGAGCAGGTAAGGAGCTGGTTCGGGTGATCCAGCGAACCCTGACGTGTCGTGTTGACCATCGACGTGGCATTTGGGTCAAATTGTTGCCACATCAGCAACTCTTAGAAGATTTGGTTTTTTATTTTTTTATTTTTTTATTTCTAACCAATGCTCTAATTACATTTTTTTAATTACTTTATATTTAACAAATCAAAAAATAACTTTAATTTTATTAATTATTTAATTAAAAATATAATAATATTATAATTATAACATCATAATTATAATATTATAAAAT